AGATCTTTCGTATCGTACGAGTGAATGTTCCTCAAGTCGTCTTTTAGATTCGATAGTTGTCCACAAGCGTGAAGAACTAACAGAGCGATGAAAGTGTCCACAGCTCCGTACGCGGTGCCTCCATATATGGCGCCTAAAGCTTGACCAATTATCGTCAATTCGTAGTTCGGGCTGTAGGTTATATTGTAAGGGAAGTAGCCATGATAAACCATAGTTTCGTCGGTGTATTGCATGGAAACGAGACGTAGGGACAGGAAGAAGAAGGCTACGAGCTCGCACATTATTATACAACCTATCGTGATGATTCTAGTGAGCCTAGCGATCTTCACCATCGTTTCTCGTTTGGTTTTCGTCTCCGTCGTGGCCCAGTCCTCGGCTATGCACTTGAGTAGAAACTTCAATGCTTGCAAGAGAAAAAAATGGCGGATAGAGTTTTGCTTCGCAAGAAATAATAGAACTTTTCGAGCTATTTGCAATTGTTTTAGTTTATTAATTAGTATAATCATTCACTATTACATGTAGAAGTTAGATTTTCAAATTTTGTTAAAGAAAAATGTATAAATCTTGAATGTCCTGTAACTCGACTTGCACTCTCTGTTTTTGTTAACAACACATAAAATATGAAAAACTCGATATAGTTGAGTCTATGTTACTTTCTCTGTTTTTGTTTCAATAAAACACCAAATATGAAAAGTTTCGCGTTCAATTGACTATAGTTTACGTGGTTAAAACGCGAAATTCTTACATTTGCCGTTCATCCAAAAAGCTATGGTCTTCACAAGCGCAATCGAGATGGTTATGTTGCCCATCGATAAATTGTCGACCACTAGATTCATGTCGTGCGCGATGAGCGGTAGATTGATGGTTTGTGGCACACACACGAAGCATAGCATCGTGAGGAACGGAACCAGGACGTGGTAACTCGAAGATCGGTTCCATTTTCTCTCTTCTGGCCAGATGCCGACGTACTTCAGTATGTAACGATTGAAACCGATATGGTAGTTCAAATCTATTAGAAATATATTTTACATATATATATATAT